GGCTCTGAAAAAGGATAAGCAGAAGTGAATGGATGGTTTTCTTTGGAATGTAGAAGGGAGCCAGAGCGTCCAGAGAAAACCCAAGCACAGGTGGAAAAGCTAATCAGCTGCACCTTGTTGCTATGGAAGGGAAACTGTCCAAATAGACTAAAACTGTTTTTGAGAACCCGGACATGAAAATGCTTTTTATTGCTGTGAGGAAATTAGTTTTTTAACTAGTCTCAAGTGGACATTAGAGGAGCTGCAGTTTGTGGCTTTATTTTTGGTAGTCACACACAGTGGCATGTACGTGTACTTGCCTTCATATCTTCATATCATGTTAAAAGCAGCAGCGTTCACAGAAACTTGGACCCTGATCTGCCTCTGCGTCTTTACCTCCCAGCACTCACGTAAGACTGAGGGCTGGGTGAGAGCTCTCTGAATCCTGTGTGTTTTCCCCCTTGTAGGAAGCTGCTGTCTGTATATCAAAGCAGACTCATTAAACACAGAAATATACAGGCAGAAAGTGTGTGTGTGTGTGTGTGTGTGTGTGTGTGTGTGTGTGTGTGTGTGTGTGTGTGTGTGTGTGTCTGGGCAAGCTGCAGGATAGCAGTAAAAGTAAGGCATCCTGTCACCTGTGTACTGTTAACCAGGGACCCACTTCCACAAAGAAATAAACTTCCAGACTGGTGGGTTGTATTTGAGCTCCTGTGTGTGAGAAAGTGTGAAAACACTTCTCATCTCACAGTTGTCTCAAGCATATACAAAACTGCACTAACACAGCAACAAAGTTATACAATCACAATATGTAATGCTGTATGGATAGCTGACATAACCACTATGAGGGACTCCCCTTTGGGAATCCTCTGTCAAGAATATAAAATGTGTCACACAAGAGAGGCTTCCATATCATTAATAAACATATAATGAACTTTATAAATCCCATATTATGCTTTTTCTGTTTTTCCTTCCCCTTCAGCTATTTCTTTGTCAAGGCTGCACCAAAAGAAATTCTTCAGTCACATCCTCTCAGAAAACACTGACGCTGAAACGGAGCCCTGACTTTTTGTTCCATTACTCACCTACGTCACTATTTAACATATCGGTATAATGGCAACCAGTGGCCAAGCTGGGATAACATCGAATACAACAAGGAGTTTCCACACCTAAATCCAGATGCACCAGGCTGCATTGCAGTCCTTTCCTTCTTCAGTTAGAGCTGCTTCCATTAATGCCATCCCTGTCAGCTCAATCATTTTCTGTAAAATGGTAATAAAATGTGATAAAACTTGATGAACGCTCTAATTGTCTCGGTGTCCTTCATCTGAAATGACCAACAGGTGTTTTCTCAACCAGTGTCATGTCCACATTTAACATCCTCTCTTTCTCTTCTCTATTGTGTGTGCATTGTTTTTTTCCTTTTTAAGAATAAAAGACTTCACTGAATGTGACTTCGTTCCAAACAGATCAGTCGCACCACACCCGCTGAAAAGCCTGACATCACAAATCACTACAAAACTCATTAGACAAATCTTTGAACAGCTTTTGGGGGACAACAAATGAACAGAATGCCCCGTGCGTGTTACTTCAGGTCCGGCAAAAGCAGATTCTGTAGGAATGCAGGAACACAGAAAAGGCCAGTGTATTTATTTGTAGTGGATTCTTCTATCAGAAACACTTTAAGGAACACCTCGTCTCACTTTACCTTGTAAATGTCACCACTGTGAATCTAAGTCTCTTTAAGGTCACTCTCCAGCTAGCTACAGTGCTTTGGAGTGGGTGGATACACAGTGCAAATGTTTAACTGTTAAGACTATTAAGACTCAAATGGTTGGGTTTCTTAAGCTTAATAAAAACAATATATGCATACAGATGCATAACTATGTGTTGATGCCCTATTTAACCTGTGAACACATCATGTGTGACTGTCATCAACATGACTGTGTGATAGTCATGTGAGTGTAATCAAAAAAAAAAAAAAAGTGTTTGAAAATATGTGTACTGCATGCGGTGCTATGGAAACAGTAGCTACTCCGGCCCCATACTGCGTCATCCCTGGCTGGTGCATTAGTGTCAGTCTGACTCGAGCGATCACAGCGTGTTCAGCCTGGCATCGTGGGTGGAATTAACCTCTCAGTCTATCAGAGAGGCTTTTTAGAGAGAATCGATAATCCAGCCCATCATTAAATAGAAGCCAGCTAACTGATAATGGTCAGAGAATTGGAAAAACTTAGTGCGTATGAACTTCTACAATTTGCACTGGTTGCATTAAATGAATCAGAGGAATTATTCTTTTTATGCTAAAAAGGGCTTACTTGCATTTGCTTTGAATGCAATGTGTTAAAAAAATACAATAACAGCAATTATTAACAAAAAAATGTAAATACATATTTAAGAATGATTAAATTCAGTATTAATTAATAAATGACTAATGCACCCTTTTGCTGTCATTTTATTTATATCTTTGTTAATAATAAGACTTTTTCAATTTTGCAGCATATATTATGTACACTGGATATATGCTGCATTTTTTCTGTTTGTTTCACCTGTTTTAAGAATAACATAGTATTTAAATGAGTAACACATCTTTTATGTGATAATAGTAGAACTTAATAATCCTAAATTGGATCAAACACACAAATAACAGTAAAATCAGCTGGTTATGAGCAGGACGTTCCTTCATGCTACAAGGGAAAGATGTAGGGAAGACATAAATGCTGCTCCTACCTATCTGGGGGGCACAAATACTTTCCAACCAAAAAACAAAAGATGTAGCTAATCGGCTACAACCATCCCCCAAACTGGATCTTTTTGTATACACAACTGCATGGCAGTTTCACACAGAACTAACCTCTCCAGCACATTTCACTCAAAAAATCATCTATTTTACAGCCTTAATCATTAAAGGATATTTCAGATTTAGCAATGGATGAGCCTCAACCTGTTATGCATGTCTCGTTCTAACCCTACCCATAAAAGAGGGAGAAGCACATTAACAATTTCTTCTAATTTCATTTATGAATCAAAATTTGAGTCATCCCAAAGTGAGCAAAAGGAAAATAGGTGTTAGCCTATTCACCACACCTGGCTTAACTCTTTCCCCCATAAACATTTGTCGACCTCCCCAGTACCCTTAAAGATGATCTAAAATAAGTAAACATGTGGTTTAACCATTCTTAGAATGCTTTCAAGGATAACTGCACAGGCAGAGACCACCCTCACTAACTTCTGATGCACACCCAGTCATTTTGTTCTATAAGTGGGCCTGAAATAACAGAAACTGCTAAGTTCATAAAAGAACTTGAAAGATTACTAGCAGGCTCAGACACCCAGTAGCGTGTCTGAGCCATCTTGTACAGAAACCAGCCTGTATAGTTTTCCAAGAAGGAGAAGTCATTTCCTTTTTAAGTTTGGTTGGAGCCAATAATTAAGACCTGAAAAGAAGCAGCAAGTAGGCCCAACAACCAGTCCTAAGGTAGGATCCAGTCTAACTGCTAAACAGCTGATGAGCTGCAAAGTCAAAGAGCTGTCAGAAACAACAGAAAAGGAAACACTTAAAATCTAACAACATTAGCAGTGTGTGTGAGTGCGCTGCTGGGTAACTGGATGCATATATGGGCTCATAGAGTCTACTGGTATGTTTTATTGAGAGTTTGACTTGTTAACCACAGAACCTGCTGCCACATAGTGTCTTTTTCCTTTTTGTGTATTTAGACAATGCCATTTCTTCCCAATTCTGTGTTCTTGAGGTACCAGTGTGGAAGTTTTCATTCTTGTGTCTGACTATTTTTAAGGTAACAAGGTATTCAAGAAACGGGCTTCTAGTTTTTCATGGAAACACTCACACCTTACAGGCTTTGCTTACTGTTCATTTCATAGCATATTTTATCCCAAACAATTTGTTTATTTCAGCTTCCAGTTTTATTCAGTTTGAGACAAATATAAGCAGGTTTATATCTAGACTAAGGAGTACACAAAGGAGCAGTGCACACACACACACACACACACACACATATATATATGTGTTTTATCAGTAATCAGAAGTTATCTGTAGGTGATTTAACATATCACCCAATCTTAGAAGAAGACATTAAATGTGAAATTTGTAAATATAAATGTAACCAATGCGCCTTACAAATCAAAGAGAATTAAAATATTGAGGTATCCTGGTATGACGACCACAACTGTGATGACAAATGGTAAGGTCAAACTGTCACGTTAAATAAATGTGGCTTTCAATTAAAAGAAATCCAAGAAATGCTTGCTCACAAGAAAACCCCCTGCCTGTATGTTTCGGGTTCAGTTTGGACTCGCCAGCGGACACGCTGGGTGTCGGTCTGACTGGGACACTTACGCCATCAGAGAGAGCTCGTGTATATGCGTTTGTGTGCGTGTGTGTGCGTTTGTGTGCGTTTGTGTGCGTGTGTGTGCGTGTGTGTGCGGGCCTATCTTGTCCTGAGGCAGTGACCTTAATCTGGAGCACAAGGGTGACACAGGCTCAGACCAGACAGTGACAGAAATGAATTCATGCAACAGAAAAAGCACACGCGCACACAAGTACACGCTTTACATCTGCGGCTGTACTCACTTCTGGAGCTATGTAGTCTGGAGTGCCACAGAAGGTCCTCGTGCTGACTCCTTCTGTCATGTTCTCTTTACACATGCCAAAGTCAGCAATCTTAATGTGTCCCTCAGAGTCCAGCATCACGTTGTCCAACTTCAGATCCCTGAGGAAGCAGGCGGGAATTCAAAACATACCTTCAGATGCTGATTCTTCCATTAGTGGTTGTCTTTTATGATAGGGTTATAAAAGACATTTACTACATCACAAAGGATGTTCCTAGCTTAAAAGCAACCTAGGTATGTATACCGTGTAAACCTTTTAATACTCACCTGTAAATGATTCCTTTACAGTGCAGGAAGAAGAGACCAACAGCGATCTCTGCTGCATAGAACCTGCAATGACAACATTCACATATTTACAACTGCTTAAAACCGAGCCTTCAACCTCAGAACAAACAGTTCCAATACAGCATGTCTGTATTATTGTTGCAGCTTATGCTTTACTGTTATTAGACACTAATGTGATCATAATACAAAAGGGGATAAAACCTAAAGGCTTAATGTGAATTCTCAAATATAATTTTGACTGTAACCACAGATTCATTTTACAGCCGAATCATAGAAACACACAGATAAACTGATATGTCTTACACTGCCTGAGGTTCCTTGAACTTGCCCACTTGCTGGATATGGTACATAAGGTCTCCACCATTCACATACTCCATGACAAAGTACAGGCGGTCCTGTGGTCATGCAGAGAGGAAAAAGGTGAAAGAAGAGTTATGAGTGTGTGAGAAATCAAGAAAAAATAATAATAGGTTCTACGTAAAAAAACTGTCGAATTTCAAAATATGTTTACATTTCTATTCGTGGTAAAACCTCAAATCAGAGAAATACAGTCTTGACGTCTTGCCTACCCCCGCTGTCTAAGTTGTTCCATCTTTCCTGCTACTCTTTCCATGACAAGGTGACCCAAATAGCCCACAGCAAAGCGCTTCATGGAAAATGAAAACACTCAACACAGACATCTGTCAGGAAATATTCTCTTTGTGTTCTACTGCTGGTCCCTTACTGCCCGTGACAAGTTTGGCCTGACCCCAGTCCACATGTGTTTGATGGTCTCTTACGAACAAAACAATAACAACAGACCCATGGAGACAGCGCAGCTGAACCTTCCACCAGGTCTGACACCAAATGTCACCACTCTTGGCAAAGCGGGCTTTACCCTGGACTGTGTGCTGTGACCCTCACTGTACTGCAATGACAGCGCCTTCAGCAAAATGCACATTATAGCTTCTCGACCTCTCTGCGCCTCTGATATAAAAAGCCTCCTTGTTTTCACTCAGTAAAGGGTTTGACTTCAGTGGATCCGATGTTGAGAGCGTGCTGTCTTAGCAGAACACTGTGTGGAACTCATGCATTTAAGCTAATTATGTTTTAAAAAGACAGCTGCTGTGCAGATTTATGAAACTGGGCAAAAAATGAAGTAAATCTGTTTTTATCATTTATTTTATCTCTGGTTATTTAATGTGTAAAATAAATAATGTAATAGCAATAACAATTAGAATAAGAAGTAGTCTTTTTTTGTGATGCAGGTATGATTTTCTTTAACAGAAATATCTTGAGGATCACAGAAAACTCAATCGGGCCATTTCACGATTGGTGTCACTATTTTCATTTTTATTAACCTGAATGTATTTTAGGGAAACAGTCGAATCAAATGAAACATTATCTAAGTGTAAAGATTTTCTGTTTAAAAAACAACTCAAACACTGATCAGTTTCAAGGAAATGGACATATTTAAAACATTTGGACTATTTCCCAAATTTAAAACATTCACATAAAGAAAATGTTCGAGTACGGGCATCGCAGGAAAAGGTCTGCACAGCAAATGTGAAACTAGACAAAGAGGTCACAAAAGTGTAGGAGTAAGTGTGTTTTTGTTATTCTCTGTACGCGAATGGGTGTGCGAGTATGTGTATTCATGAATATGCTATGAGTGATGCCAAGCTGTGTCTCTTCCTATTTCCTCTGCCTTGCCTGCCAGTTCAGCTCTAATCAGCTGCTATAGTTTAGCCCGGCCTCTCTCAGAGTCTGGATGCTGGTAGACGTTCATTTGCAATTTACAGATTTAACAAAGAGACATTCAGATTAAGGAAGCCATCGACTTCTTTTGCATATGGACTATAATAGATTTGCAGAGTTTATGCAAGTTCACAACACTACTTACTGAAAACATTTTACAATTTCTTTAGATCATTACATTTACTGAGTACAAAAAAGAGATATTAAGGGTATCAAAGATAACTTTGGTACCCTTTGTAACAAAGCCTTTTGCTTATTTAAACAGAGAGAGAGCTCACCCTTTAATTGGGGTTACTTTGTTCCCCTTTCACTGTTTTTTTAATTGGACTTGTCATAAACGTCCTTTGCTGCCTTCTCCAGCACTTTATGACTAAGCTGTTTAGCTAAAAGCCGCTTGCTGAATTAATTTGACCTGACTTGACCTCGAGTGAGTTATCCTGGTACATCCAGAAGCCTTTTACCTACCACTGTCTGGAAGCACGAGTGGAGGTATGTGAGGAAGGGCGGTTTGTCCTGCTGGGCCAGGACTCTCTTCTCCACCATGGTACATTCAACATCATCATCCTGGATTACCACATCCTTCTTCAGAATCTTTATAGCATACAGCTCCTCAGTGGTCTTCATCTCTGCTAGCATCACCTTTGCAGAGACAGAAGGTGGCCAGGTAAAAATCATTTCCATGTAGAGTACAATGCACTTTGTTCTTCCAACTTTGGATATCGCGCACCTTGCCAAAGCTTCCCTTCCCCAACACAGCTAGGAAATTGAAGTCGATGAGTTTGACCTGGTTCAGGCTGTTTGATGGGAGCTGGCTGGAGTGGCTGTCATCAGTCTCAGTGATCACCTTCTTAGTGGGACCAAGTTTGGCTTTCTACACTCGGAGTAGAAAAAAATAAAGTGTTTGAAGGTTAAATGGTTAAAAGAAAAGCATATAACCTAAAGCGGCTGCAATGTGCAATTCAGAAAAGACAATGATCGTGGATACCTAAAATGTTAACCTTGATAAAATGCATAAAACTTGTTTTTAAGCAAATAAAAAAAATGGCAGAACATATTCAAGCTTCTTTATCGTGGGTTTTTCTCACAGAGAAGACAACATATTCACACGTTTTTGCCAATTTTTTAAATTTATGTCTACAACCACTAAAACCATTTTCATACAGTAGAATATTCAATATGTGTCAATTCATTTACTAAAATAACACAAAATATCCTTAATTGATTTTTCTGTTTACCTGCTGTATAACTTATACTTGCCATTAGCTCACTATCTGCCAGAATACACTGACTGACAGGCACAATTCAAGATTAATGAGATCAAGCAAAACTGATGTGCCTTTTTGGAGCTCATATACCGGTAATACAAAATGACTCGATAAACCTGATTGAGATTTGCAGTTGTCTTCTTGTCCAATTACTGTCCAATAAATTACTCTAGCTATATTATTGCTATCATTTAAACAAAGTAAAACAGTGCTGGTGGTTGTTGTCAGCATAAAGCGAGAAAGCTGAAATGTTGGATTTGAGAAAAATAAAATAAAATCATGCAAGCATTGTTTGTCACATTTGCTTTTGCTGTGAGAATCGGTTAATCATAAACATCATTGATTAAATTCAATAGCAAAGCTAATGCATGACACTGCTGTTATCAACAATGATCATTTTCTATCGTTTCATTTACAGTAGTGTGCAAAAGTCTCAAGGTATCCCTCGTGTTCTTTTTCCTTTTGCTTCAGAGGAGCCTTAATTTTCTTGTGATTTTTTATGGTCTTGGGCAATAGTTCTTCAGGCTTTCTGAGGGTCTTTCAAAGTTTTTAAAGTTCTTTGGAAGAGAAGTCAATCTTAAGGTTGGGAAATAGGAAGATGGTTGGAGGACGGTCTTGTTAAAACTGATGGAATTACGAATGCAGAAAGTACTGTTAGAGTTTGACTCACCATCTGGGAACAGCTTCGTTTTTTAATAAAGCAATGATCCTAAACACACTGCCAAAGCAGTAAAAGACAAACCTGGATAGAAATGCATACAATAATGGTATACTATTAGTTATGGATTAGTCTCCCCAGAGCCCAGACCTCAGCACTACTGCAGCAGTGTGGGATCATCTTGACAGATATCAAAACAAAAGAACATCCAACATCCAAAGAAGGGCTTTGAATGTCCGTCGAGAAGCCTGGAGAACTATTCCTGAAGACGACTTATAGAAATTACATAAACAAAGTTTGCACAAGAGTGTTCAGGCTGTGTTGAAGCATAAAGGCAGTCATAGCAAAAACTGACTCTGTGTTGCTTTTTATATTCATGTATTATCCATGTTTCAATAAATCCCTGCATCTATTTCCCATGTTTCTTGCAAAATATATAGAGATGAAGATTGACTTGAGCTTTTCACACAGTACTGTAACATATTTTAACCAGACATAGCATCCACAAAGCTAGGCATAGAAATTTTATTTTAAGTATTAAATCATTAAGATCAGTGATCAAAGTAAAACCTAAAAAAAAACAGCATTTAAAATCTCTACATTGAAATCAGACCTTAAAACGCTCAATTTCTACGTGGCTGCTGTTGCACCGAAGGAAAGGATGCCACCACGTGGCTTCAACATTCACATGCATGTCCAGTGTAAAATATATCTCTAATTCTGACCTGTAAAAATACAAAAACATTCTCGTCTTTGCACCTCTTCATGCCAAGTCATGCTCAATCTTTCAGCAGTGCAAATGCTTCAAGACACTACAGTGCACTATGCTGAAAATACACTACTGTGGCAGTCTGAACACTAAAAACAATCTGACGAAGCGTCCCGCTTCATATCTTTCTCTAAGCAGATCTACACAAAACACACCTCACCGCTTCATATTCACTCTTAGCCAAGGCAAAAATCATGCTCTCCCCAACATCCTAGTTATTACCTAAATCTTCATGCTGCACAAAAAAGTTTGTTTTCTTCTGCTACAGGAGATAAATCTTCTTTTATTTTTCCCAGTGAAGCATAAGAATATACTATATACATGAAACAGGAAGACCAACTTGTGTGGGGCTGAAAGGTTTCCAGGCCATTACAATATTGTTCCTCTTAAAAAACAGGAAAACAGGAAGAACTTAGTGTTATCCCACACCATAGATACCTGATAAATTCACCCATTTATCTCTATAACATTCAAGTAAAATACACTGAATATTAAAATACTTTCTAGCAGTGCTGAGCAGCTGCAGTTTGGTTAATGAAAGCTACCGTTGCCTGCTCTTAAACTAGGAGAGCAGTAAGAAAGCTGAGCAGACCGCACCAGATCACAGCACACCTGTAAGCTTTAGCCACAGAAACAAGCCTGGCCGGGCCAAGCAAGCAGCAGCCTTACTTCCTTCCTTCCTTTTAGACGCACCTGATCAGAGTCTTCCACAACTGCTTGGTCCTGAAACCACAGGGAAAAGGGAGCCAAAAGGTCTAACTCACTTAGTACACTTGTGTACAGGCGCACACCACAACAGCTGACTTGTATGGACAGGTAGTTGAGTGCCAATAGTGAGGCTCGTACACGCAGACAAACACAGAGAATATGAATGAAGATACAGCATTCATAATATGACACTAAATCGTGTGGTCGAGCCTTTCGATCAGCAAACTTAGTCCACGGGGCTCCAGTTAGAGTTTACAGACATGTACAAGTTCAAAATTGCAGCTTCACAGAAAGAAACCAGCGAGAACAGTCAAAATAATTACCTGATCTCTATTATATTTCTGATAAAGCAGTCACCCCCAGAGGTGACTTCATGAATTATGTTTTAAAAACAACTTTTGATTTAACCATGGAGACTAAAAAAACGTTAAGGTGAGAGGGATAAGTGCTTATACACACACACAGACACACATACAAGAGCAGGAACAATTACCCGCCATGTACTCAGGTCAATGCTGACATCTAGTGTTTGCATCTGGTTTATTTCTCTATTCATACAGTATATCAAATATGCAATATTTCCATCCATGTAGTTATGCCTTAGACTGAAGTTTATCTAGGTTTACACTGAGATATTTGCAGGTTCAAGAAGCAGACGCTTACAGACAAATGTTCAGCTGTGAGATGAGAAAAGAAACTAGCTACGGGTTATACTTCAGTTGACATCGACATAAGCACACAACATGAAGCGTACACAGACAAGACGGGCGCACAACACAAAGACGCACATGCAGACAAATGTATAGCTATGAACTGTAAGCAGTAAATCAGGATTTACTAACAATCCTTTGTCAAACTCTGAGAAAATGCGAGCCGTGAAAACGAGGAAGAGCTGTACTTTCACAAAAATGGGGAGTTACTAAATATCCATCGGGCTTATTTCATTCATTTATAAAATTATCATTTTTTTGATTTGAATTTTTTTTTTTTATCCAAGCCAAAATGTACAAATTGTTAGTAAACTGGATCAATTTGTAGTAGCGCGGCACCACATACAAATGATCAGAGACGAGGAGAAGTGGAGGAACATGTCACCACAGCAAGACGAGACAAAAGAGGAGAAGGAGAGGAGAGAAGGGTCGAGGAGCGGAGAGGGCTACCTTTAGATTAAAATTAATTTGGCAGTCCTGAGAGCAGGGGCAAGACGTGGAGAAAGGAAGAGAGAAACTCTTGCATTAAATATGACACTGTGACATAGGGTGAAGAAGCATTTGTACAGTGTAAGTCTCACCAAGCACACAGGAGGGAGCAGGAAGCTAAGGGAAAAAAGGGAGAGAACCACAGAGGGGTTTATGAAGAGGGGAGAGAAGGGAGAGGAGTTCTCAGGCCATAAAAAAACTCAAAAAAACATTCATTAAAGTCATTAAAGTGGATGAAACATTACATCTACAGATGCCAGACAATTACTTCGGAGCTCCATGAGAGAGATATGATGACTGCACTGGGCTTCTCTTAAAGGCAATTTAAACGATGTGAAAAACTAGAACAATGTTGAAAATACCTGTTCCGTTTATGCACTGCACATTTGCACAGTACACTACTGTAGCTTCTGTGTGTGAGAGAAAAATCACCACATTTTCGTGTCACGCACTGTGAGGAACATGCTCGCTACTGGTCTTTGTTCCTGTTATCGAGACAAACGCAACACAACTGCACTGTCACCCTCTGACTTCAGGCCAAATTTGTTTTCTTCACCTCTTTTCTCTCTTTTTTTTTTATCATCATCACCTTTTTTCTCGTTGCCTGGATATATTTCAGAATGTATTTCTGTTACTGTGTCGTTACACAGGGCAGCTTCTCCTTTAATGTAATGAACGCATTTTGTAAAGCTGCAAAAAGTTGAACAGGAAATGATTTTTATGGCAAAGCTTACTTTAATATGGAAAACGTGTTTCTAAGTGTTTCCATATACTTAAAAATATGCACACATATATAAAACTCCAGACAATGATCGAGCTTCATATTGAATCCAGATTAACGAGCATGAGGTTTGTTTGCTTTTTTCGGTCAGCTAAAAATTGGCCCAGCCGTGACCTTTCCCAGCCCAACTTTCTATTCTTTCTCATTCTATCCACCCCCTTTATTCTCAACCATCTGCCGCAGAAAGGTCGTGGAAAGTAACCTTAAACACATTTTCTAGAGACCTGGGCTTTCATTGCACACTGTGACACAGAATACCAGGTGAAATAATTCACTCCAAGAAGGCCAGACGCACACAGGTTCGAACAAGAAGAACATGAAATTGTATCAAATAACATCTTTTTTTAACACAATGTGTGCTTAAACATTACTGCAAAGTAGGAGGAGCTGATTGTTCTCCTCATCCTTTTAACATGCTATTGAGCACAGTCACTAAAGCTGATCCCCCTTTCTGTTTGGTTCTGGCTGGAATGTAATAACAACAATTATCCACAAACACGCAAAAAATGTAAAGTCAAAGTGAAGCCTCAGAATTCAAAGAGGGCACGCCGAGGAGCTCTGTGAAAGCTGCAGCTGTCACACGGTTATCTGCAGTCCAGGAGAGCATGTGACAGTTCGATAATTCTGCTGGACAGGGTGGCAGGATCAGATCGATCCACCTCAGTCTGAAGCGTGTAATAAATGCTTCTGTCTTTGTGCCATGCAGTTTGAAGATACTGCAAAAGAAAAGATCGCGCAGCTTTGATTATGTTAATACAATCCTCACCTCAAATTTCTGCCTCAGTTCCTCATTACCATCATCCTCCTCTGAGATGGGAACATTGTAGTACTCCCCCTCCTCCTGGCACAATAACTTATACCTGAGAGGAGAGACATGACATGACAGGAAGTGAGGGGAAGAAACAAAGACAAGCTTATCCAAGCATTCTGTTTACATCAGAAGATGTTGTGTTTGTTAAAACCTGGATGATATAAAGCATTTACTGGGTACCAAGGAGCAACTGATGAGAGCTTAAACTACTGATATTTCTGACTCTACAGTTGTTTTTTTAACTTAAAATAACAGTGTAAATACAAATCAATACGCTGTCATTCTAAACTATAAATACAGATCAACAGTAACTGGGCATTCAACAAGTCAGCATTACCATCCACAGACTGGAGCCTTCATGAGCTCTGACACGCCAAAGGAAAGGGCTCCCATGAAGTCATTCCTCGTGGTCCGATCCCAGTCCCACACTTCTACTGATAGTCTGCGGTCTTTATCTGTATTCCTCAGCTTGCTGTACAGCACATTATGGTTAATAAAAAATAACACATTTGCTTACAGAGTCGTTCTTAATACTACTACTACTTATACTAAGAGTACTTTAAACATTAAATACATTTAGCTTTTTTTCCCCTTATCCTCTGTTAATTTATCATCTGTGCCATACTACAGCCTAGAGTGGGCCAGAGGCTGAAGATGGACCCGTGTACTCACAAAGTGAACGTCTCGTTCCATTTGGGGTTGAGGCTGGAGCGGATCGTTTTGGTCTTCTGCTTGGTCTCATTTTTGGGATCTGGTACGATCTTGAGCTTCACATATGGATCAGACAGCCCGTTGGGGTCCATGGGAATGAGGTTTCTGGCTTCAGTCACTGAAAACGATGAAGGATACAAACAAAAGATTGACACATTTGTCCATCCATCCGTCTTATGTGTCAGTGTGTGAATGTATGTGTGAATGGGTGGATGACTGAATGTGTAAAGCGCTTTGGGGTCCTTAGGGACTAGTAAAGCGCTATATAAATACAGGCCATTTACCACTTATTCCACTTATTCAGGGTTGCAGGGGGACAGGAGCCTGTCCCAGCTTTCACAGGGCATTAGGTGGAATATAGCCCTCTAGTGTGGGGTTAACACAAAGACACAGACAGCCAGTCATGCCTACAGCCAGTTTAGAATCACCGATTAACCTAACCCCATGCAAGTACAGAAAGGTCCCAGCTGGTTGATGGATTTGAACCCAGGACCTTTATCATGTGAGGCTAACAGTGCTAACACTGCACAGTACTGGCGTATCACTTTTTTTAAAGACCAAATAAAATATCTAAATAAAACCTATATAAGGTTAGCATAAGTGCAACCTAGTATCCATCCAATATTCATTAATATTTCCTTTCATATGTAACTTGATAACAACAGTACAAACAGCCCTGAGCATAAGGAACAGTTGCTCTCATTTAATCAACAGGTGAACACCTGCAGGTCAAGATCAACCAGCGAGGCGCAGCCTGTGAGGATTATTTATGGATCCGAGCCATAATGGGAGCAAATGCAGGAAGTGTTATGAGAACGGTGATTCTAATTTGCGAACTGTGTCATGCTTAAGTGGGCGAAGGTTCTCTTCTCTCCCTTCTGTATTTAGCTATTCGGTAAACAAGGGCACACCAGAGACATTAGTACTCCATTAGCTTTGAGCATTGGAGCACTGCCAGATCTGGGCTGCAGTACAGTGCACACACAGACTCACATGCTCACATAAATATACACCTCCCTGCACACAATCAGATGTACACAGAGTATGTTTATCGACACACAATGTATCTAGCGTCCCCGCAGAGATAGGGATGGATGCCTGCCTGCTTTGTTAAACCTCATACCCTGGAGATCGGAGCTGTCTCCCCATGTGGCCCTGTCAGTCACACTGCAACCGTGGGCTGACAAAGCTAAATGATCTTTGACCTGGAAAAGAAGGCGCTAAGCCAGTGTGTTAAGAATGCAAGACAGAACTGCTAAACCCGGTGTTTTAACTCTGAATGTTATACAGATTGGCAGGATTAGGAGGGATAAATGAATAAAATCAATAAGGGATTGACACTGTTGGGTTAGTATAGCAGCTGTTGCAAATGTCGAGATGCTCCAAGAAGAAGGTAAAAACACAGCACAATTTTCCACTGGACTTTTACAGAATAAACCACATTGTGCACATCACAACAGACTCAAAAGGATCTTTGAAAAGAGCATATAACACTTCAATGATGGTGTATTGTATTCTCAGCACCTGTGGTGGAGGATCTGGGCGTCGAGTGATGATAATGGGGTGTGAAGTTTGATGAGTGATGAGCAAGCTGCTGTAGAACATGCTGGGAGATAGAGCACACTTCACAAGAGCGTCAGACGTTTCCAGGAGAAACTTGACGTGTGGGAAGATATTGAGCGATCCTAAACCGGCAACCTTCGGCTTCCTCAGAAATCCAGTCAAGATGTGTTGAATAAGTATCTTCAAAGAACATCTTTGCTATTGAGTGCATTCTAATATAGATGCACTCTGCAGTAGAATTGCAGTCTGTGGGTAAACCTCTATTTCAATTTCTTTTCATTTCTTGAACAGAAGAAAATGCAATGGAAATGAATACATCTCTTCTTCTTCCTGACATAATAGCTGGTGGGCACTTTAGCCCTAAAAGAGCAGCAGCTCTAACTGCTATAAAAATGGTTGTAGTCTCAGACCTGAATTCACATGGGCTATTTTTACAATGACAAAAACAGAATAGAAGAAAAGTGCTAGTGTAACTCTATAAGACCGATTTAAGTGCTGTGCGAACCTACAATTGTAGTCCAGTGAATGGTTATGCACTGATTGCACATCTAATATTCAAGTGAAGTTGAATTTAATATCTGCGGCAAGCTGAACTTCTACACCAGACTTTTTTTCAATCCTTAGACGGTAAAGGTCATGTTTTGAATATTTCATATTCTGGCCTTATGTATGCCAAGACCTGGGACCAAAAGACATTCTGTAAAGCATATAAAAGGGACACTTCTTGTGTCTTATGCTTGCGAGCT